TATATGGCTTCTTGGTGACTATAGGCAGTAGTTTCTTTAGAGAAAGACAGAAATAAATGAAAAAGAAAAATTATTTTTGACATGTGTTTCTGGATGTGACATGGCTAGATTTGTTTCAATGCAATGATATAGATACTTTAGAGGGTAAATTCCTCCTGAGAAATACACCTAAATATTTGAGAAATATGTGACTAGGAAAATAAACTATCAGGATATTAATCCTAAATTGCATTTTCAGTGATTTTTTTATATAGTTGTCATCTTGATTTTATGTAAATAAAGATAAATGACTTTAAAGGAGCCTCTGCATTCTGGTACAAGGAGCGGATTGGGGAATCGGCATAACCCCAAAAGAGCTGACAAGGCCTTTTTATAGCTAACATTATCAGATATCAACCATTCCTTGAAAACCTGCTATGTGTGCTGAAAACTCAAAGTTAAATACTCTTCAGGAAACTACTCTTGAGAAATTACTGCACTAGGGAAACAGAGAATTTTAGCAGAGTTTGGACTTGAACACTTGTCAGTGGGAATAAAAAGTCCATAGAAAGAGGAAAGAGCAGTATATGCAAACAGCACAGCATCTTACCAGCTGAGAAGCATGCTCATCCGGCAAAGGCATCTAACAGTAAAGGCTGTTGTACTGGCAGGAGGCAGATGAGGGAGATAAGTATTTTTGATGTCAAGGATGAGTTTTGTGACAAGATAGGGCTTAAATGAGAACTAGAAGAGACAGGGAGGGAAGTAGTGGGGAGAAGCTGAAGTAGATTTTTCTTCACATATGGATAAAGTTCACGAGTCTTAATCTGAACATACACATTTCTGCAAAAGTAGAATTCTGCCTTCATGATTCTAAGTAAGACTTGACTTTCCTGTTAAGCAAATACACCTGACTTGACCTCATCTGAATAGCAAGCTTCATGGTCCAGGATGACTCCTCTTATCCTGGGAGAGACAAAGAACTGATTCATTATGCCAAGGGCAACTTAACTTCCTCAGAGGAAGCAATCTTTGTCAACTTCAAAACTCTCATAGCACTTGCAATCTCAGAGATTTGATACATAGTCACACACTAATTTGCATTGTTAACTTTTTAATGTGTTTACCTCTTAGTTTTCTAAATCACACCTGACTCCGTGGAAGCAGAGAATTATTTTTCTATTTCTTACACTCTGTATCATAGTACTGGCCATATATTATAAAGAAGAAACCAAAAATAAAGAAAACAAATATGAAAGAAGAAAGATTGAAAAAAAAATAACTTTCTGCCACATCAATATTTTGAAAAACTCTATTTTGAAGATTTGGGTGGCAACAGAAGTTATCCTTTAATTCTTACAACAAACCATAATGTGGAAGTCAAAATAATCCCAAAGTGCTGATATTCAAAATAAAGTAGTAGCCTACTGTTATTATATGTGGATTTTTCTTCAATACATCCCAGGCGTATATATGTCATAGTGACTTTTCCTAGTAAGCTTTCTAAAAAGAAAAGAAATGAATGGGGGAGACGTGATATTTTCATTTTTTGTGCTCCTATGGGTTGAAGCCATTAATTCTGTGTGACATTTACCATGTCAATATCTGTCTCCTCTTAGTATCCCATCAATAAAATGGAGATGACCAAACATGCCTATTATATGCCTCACAGGAGAGTTACAAAATCAATGTGGTGAACCACTTGTTGAATATTCCAAGGCTAAGATTCCATTTGATGAATGACTCTTTCCCTTCTGTCCCATAAGGAAAACTAAGTGGAAATACTCAAGGGAAAATCAGAGACAATGAAACGCCATCCTATCCATTTCATTTCTTTTTTTAAGATTTCAAATATAAGTTTGTCTTGAGAAAATGATCAGATTTATCATCCTGAAAATATAGACATTTCAAAATTATCAAATTTTCCCCATTTTCTCTTAGTATTTAACCTGTTCCATCCATGCAGAACTTGTAAGCCTCTTCAAAGCCGAGTGCTCTGCAAAGATGAGTTATTTTTCTTTATGGAGCAACATGGAGAGAAAAGGGAGTTTACTCAGCTTCAACCTCGCCATTTGGAAAGAGGATTTATCAGACTAAAAGCTTTACAAAATAATTTCAATAGGTAAATATCAATCTGGCTGAAAACAGTTTTTATAGTAATTAATATTCTACTGCTAATAAATACTTGCTGGCAAAATGCCCCCAGAAGATGGCATTGTTTACACTATTGACTGAGAGGAACAGCTGTTTACCCCTCACTACATTCAGAGCTGCAGTATTCTTACTAAAATGTTAACAAATATTAGACAAACGTCTGCCATTTAAAGCTCAACTTGCTCTGAGAGTGTTTCAGGGAGAGAAAAAAAAAGCTACAACTCTAAATAGGACTTTAAATTAGGTGAAATTTATATACTGTACACTGGGTCTGCATATGGACATCTAAATGCAGAGTTCCAATATTTACTAATAACTTGAATACCATTTGAAGTTCGGGGGCTTCATGGCAAAAAAAAAATCCTAATTGCCTATTAATATCTATCCTAGGCACATTTTACTGGCACAGACAATTAATTTTAAGCAATTCCCAGAAGACGAAGCCAGCTGTTCTATAACTTTTGAAATATTATATTAAACTAAACATTTTTGGGGGGTGAAGTGTAAAAGGTGAAATTATGTAGTGAAACATTAAGCTCAGAGACAAAAGACTTGTGTTGTCTGACTATAATAATCCTATTCTAAAGAAAAAGGTCTTGAAGTGCTGTTAGGGTTGTGGAGCTAGAGGAAATCTCACACACTGCTCACAAGGGGAGGAGACTTATGAATTAGTACCATCATTTTAAGAAGAACTGGAAATACCCAGTAAAGCTGGAGACAAACATTTCTTATGGTCCAGAAATTCCACTCTTCAGTATATGAGCAAGAAAAACCAAGAGACAGGTACAGATTGCATTTTTTTAGGGTAAAAATCAACAACCCTAGAAACAATCTATAGATTCATACATCAAAGGATTGATGTATTTTGGCATATTTATAAAATGAAATACAATACAGTAGCTATAATGAAATAACCAAGACTTTACATAGCCAGGTACATACACTTCAAAATTATAATATTAAGTAAATTGCAAGGTGCAAAATGAAAGAACATGACACCATTTAGAAAATGGCTAAAGACAAAGCACTCCTACATATTGTTCAGGGAGATAAATATGTATGGTGAAAGTTCAAAAACATTATGTATAGGAATGATATACACCAGATCAATAAACTGTTTACTTCTAGGTATGATGGCAGATGAATGAGATCAGAGAAGAATGGCAAAGGAACTTAAGTTATATCTGTAATATTCCACTTACTTTTAAAAATGTCTAAATGCTTACATACAATTACAACATACTAAGCTGTAATGGCTCAGTATATTCCTCTAGGCTTCCTAGTATGATTAATAGCCAGACGATTTTCAGCACGTGATTCTCAAAGACTGGAGGTTGGGTGGCAGCTCCTCAGGACCCTAGGTAGAAGCAATAAGGAACCCCAAGCAGCTCGACTTTGAACCCCAGCCCTCTCCTCTCTTCAGACCCCTTTCAGCTGCCAACGGGGCAGTTCCTTAGGTCACCTCAGGCGCGGTATGTTGACATTCACCGTCTTCTGGGTGTTGTCTCCTCCTGAACCCTACAATGCAGCCCAAGTAAATCTCCGGCTGGGGAAGTCTTTCAGTTTGCCCAGGAATCTAGTGACTTACATAATTATCTTTAGTTAGAATCTTAGAGAGAAGAGGGTCATTTATGGATAAGTGATAGGACTCTCAGAATTCTTTCTTTGCTAATAAAATAATGGGGTCACTAATCCAGTTGATGCGAGTCTACCTCTAACCAAAAAACACAAGGTTAGCCTCAGGATTCATGCAGAACCTGCTTGAAACCTGGTCCCATCTGTAGTTGTGCAGCCAGGATTGTCAGGAGCCTAGAGTGTAAAATAAGGCTGTATAATTGCTACTGTTGAGGGTAAGAGGAGGGTGGGGAGGGAGAGAGGGAGACATCGAATTCCTCTGAAGTGGGTACAGTTCATGATCCTTAACTTCATTGTAAGCTTCACACATAGGAGAAATCATTATGGTCGCTCATTTTGTTAAGGTTTGACAGCTTTCTGACAGCTTCCAATAAAAACAAAATAAGTTGATTTATGATAAAGCAGGAGCGTTTCCAGATATATACTACAAGCTAAAAACAGAGCCGAAATTTGTATGAGCTGGAGTCTAAGGGAGAAACAAAAATCACTTGAAATCCCACCAGCAGAGCCCTCAGATTTTGAATTCCTGTGAGCCAACCCGGGCTTCCACTCCGACTCTCACCGCTACCGCACCCCATGTCTCTCCTCTCTCCGTCTCCCCGAGACGCCAGTGAACCACCAGGGCTCGGAATCCAGAGCCCCGGGGCACCTTGCAGTACTTGCCCGAAGCAAGGCGCTAACAGCGGGAGATAGGCGCCGACGCGAAGACCGGGGAGAGGACCAGCGGTGTGAGTAGCTGCGGGGTCTGCAAGCAGGGGAGCGCGCACAACGTTAAACTGCGAAACCAGAATTCCCGATCCTATGGAGACCCAACAGCTCTCCCCATTAAGGAACAGATGCAGGGGAAATTAAATGCGTAATTCAAGCTCTGTTTTCCCCTCCCCTCCGAAGGTGGGGTGGGGGAACGCATCTCGTCAGCTCATCACAAAGCTTTCCGTGGGAAATCCCCTCTTCCTAATGCGTCTGTCTTCCAACTCCTATTAGCAGCCTTCACCGTCGGTCTTTGAAAATCTACAAATTTCAATACCTCTACTCGTTTCCCACAAGGGAAAAAGGGAAGAGAAAACCGTGGGGTAGAGAGAGAGAATTTCCTTCCCCCTTCCCTCCCAGGTATCCGAAGCGCACCGCACAGGCTCCGCGGCCGGGAGGAAAAGCGCCCGAGCGGGGCAAAGACCCGCCCCGGCTGCTCTTAAAGGCGAGCGCGGGGCGGGCCTGGCTGGGGGCGGTGCCGCGCGGCCACGCTCGCCTATAAGGAGCTGTCCGCCACCCGGGTGCTGATTTCAGCTCTCGAGCCCGGCGAGGTGGATTTGGCTGTCCACCGAGCCCCCGCGCCTGTCGTTCTAATCGGGTTTGGATTTGCGCCGTTAAGGAGGGAGAAGGAGGAGGAAGAGGCGGGCGAGGAAGGCGAGTCCAGCTAGCGGCTGTCGCGGGGACCGTAGCCCCAGCCGCAGCTCCGGAGAATCCCCCGCCACTGTTTCGGTGGAGCGCCTGGGCACGGGATGGAGTGAAAGAGCGAGTGCCTCTCCAAGGGGGGGTGGGAGGGGGCCAGGCGGTTCGGAGGAGACCGAGCGCGCGAGAAGAAGCCGCGGCTGGCGCCTGCGAATTTGGAATTCGATTGGGAGCGACCGCTCACTCGGGGGAAATGGATTCTGTACCAAGGCTGACCAGCGTTTTGACTTTGCTCTTCTCCGGCCTGTGGCATTTCGGATTAACGGCGACAAATTGTGAGTACGAGGAGCTGGGGGCGGGTAGGTGAGGTGGAAAACGATCGCATTCAGAAAGGCGATCAACTGTGCAAGGGTACTCGACTGTGTCTGCTTTGGGCAAAGGAAACAGGGAAAAAAAAAATGCTGATCTGTGTGGTTCCATCACTCCAACCATCCCAAAAGTTATCAGAGCTCAAATGAGCCAGCCCTGCTGGATTTCCCCCCTTCTTCCGTTATCGCAAAGTTGAAAGGATAAGGAAAGGTTTCTCTTCCCTTAACCTCCGGCTAGCTCCGCGTTCCATGCCTGCCTGATCTCAGCCAGGGCTTTTTTTCCGGAGAAGGGCCCCTGGTTCATACAGCATGCACTGGGAGATGAGCTTCCAGGGATGGAGATGCTCCCAGCCACCGTGTTCAGTGACAGTGGTTCATCTCTGTATGCAGTGCCTCGGATTTGCAGTATACCTAGCGCCCCAGGATACGTGGCTCTGCGTTCTGCCCTAGGCAGAAGGCTCCAGTTGGGGTATCTTGCAACCAGTGGGCACTGGTTTAACAGGATTGGGAGTTCTGGCCTAAGAGTCATGGACCAATGTAGTCAACCACAAGATCAATGGCTGCCCCTATTACAGCAGGAAGAGCTTTCATGCACACCCCACCCCAAAAATCTTTATGCCTATGAACAGTAATGAGTATGCACTAAGTGTACACTTTGTCGTTCAAGCTCTAACCTCGGCAAGTGCAGGACATTTAATTTAATAGTCAGGAAGGCTGGACTCCCGGGGATCCACCACCTGCACTATATATTTAAAGAACCCAGTCCGTCAAACTTGAATAAATCTCTGGAGCTATGAGAGGTTCAAGCTCAATTGCTCAGCTGCCTCTCTAGGCAGAGGAAGGAAAGTTTTTCCAGCTCTGGGACCTCCTAAATGAGAAACAATGCAATTAAGCCATCTGTGTTGTTTCCAAAGATGGTTTATCAAGGTCTCTCAAGTTTCTGCCTTGCTCCCATATCCCTTATCCCTGTCATGAAGCTCAGAAATATTACCCATATTGGAACAGTTTTATTTTTTATTTTTGTAATTTGCACTATCATGGTTAGAGAAAGGTGGAAAGATTACTTACCACATAGGTGGCTTTCTACCCCACTCTCCACCCACTTAGGTCCTAGAAAACCCTATGCATGTATCCCCAGAGTTATGTCTCAAGGGAAGACAATTAGACAAATGTAGTGTACTGAAAACAGTTAAAAACTGAGCCAGTATTTCTATCTGTTGTCGGAAGTTTTGGAGGACCAGTTTCTATAGTTAATGGCAATGCCTTATACAGATTGCATTAAAGTTTGTATTCTAAAGGGCTTATCCTCTCTAACGGAGGATCCAAAGGGCCCTGGTTTATAAATTATTTCAGAGAATATGTAGGAGCCCTTGGAATCTGACTTTTTTTCTTTGACTTCTTCATCTCCTCTTCCACCTCCTTCTTTTTCTTCTTCTGTGAAATTGTTCCCATGGTGCTTTAGAAAAAGAGCTAAGTGGTTAGTAGGAGGAAGTTAGGAACAGTACTGGGCTAGTTTCTCCACCTTCTCGAACACTAGAGGTCAGTATTGGCCTAATGATACAAAGGCGTGGCAGCAAGCTAGCTGTTTTCCCTTCAGCACATTTACCTATCTGAAGAGAGTGAATATTTTGAAAAACCACAAAGGTGGGGGTGAGAAATAAGGGTAAAATAGAGAGAATATATTCCATAGGCATATGGCTTGGACTTCCTAATGCAACATCTTTTCTTAAGAGGCAGTAAAACAAATACTGTAGAATAGCATTTTTTGGCAAATTAATTGAATTATGGTTAATGTGTTTTAATAATGCTCATAAAACCTAAATGGCATGGATTTAAGACTCAGGCTTAACATTACCAATGCAGTAATAAAGCTAATTCTGAACATTTAGAATGGAACTTTGTGATAATGAGCTTTAGTATTTTATCAGTGACAGTTTAATTTCCCCATTTCCAATCAACATTTCAATTGAATGCTTGCTGCTTGCTAAATATTTTGGGGTCAGTGTTCTTAAGGCATGATCTTTAATGTTCATTATGCTGTCTAAAATGTATTAATCGAGTGAATAATAGAATAGCAGAAAAAAAATTAGCTCTGAACTTGGTATATTTTGGGGTCTTCAGAACAGATGAAGCAGAAGGTCTAAGAAAAATGCATTAAAATTCCACAGTTCCTTTAGATTTCTACTGACCACACTCTTTATTCGTTAAATATAGGGCTTGGATTTATTTTTTTTATCTATAATCAATTAATATTTGTATACATATATTGAACATTAGCAACTTCTTTTCAAATAGTCACTTTTTAAAAGTTTATTTGTAGATTTTTTTACAAGATTATTCATCCAATGTTTTGAGGTACTATATCATGACATTTGTGACGGTAGCCTTGAAAATGGATTATTAACCCAATATTTTCCATGGTATATAGTTACATTTGTGGACTTTATTCAGGGATACATAACTTCTAATTGTTTATATTATTTTTATAATAATATGTTGGTGGTGGTTGTTATTGTCGTGTGGTGTGTATTTGCGTGTGTGTGTGTGTGTGCACTTACATTTCTCAAAACCTGACCAAAACTTGGGCTTTTAACTTCAAAGGAAAGTTGAATGCTTGCCCAATTATAGATTTTATAAGTTTCTAATTAAACAAAATTAAAATAAAGTCAGGTTAGAAGGGCTAGCTTCAGTACAGATATTATGAATCTGTGCAGGGTACATAATTACCTACCAGTAATAAAAACCGCAGAAATTCCCTCATTTCAGATTTTCAGGATATTAAATAGCTACAATTCTTCCTTTGGGTTTACCCTGAGGGAATTAGTTAACTTCAAATGTAGGTATAATAGGCCAATGTTTAATGAAAAATCATTTTACATATAATATTAACTCCTTTGCCACAAGAAGAAGTGATATGACTTGATAGTTGGTTAAAGTGAAACTGGGAGTTACAGGAGCTGAGGAGTTCTAGCTCTAGTTATGCCACATCTAAGGGTTCAAATACCTGTTGTGTTATTTAACCTTCTAGTGCTCACAGGCTTGAGTATAAAACAGCAATTGAGGTATGCATCGACTCCAAAACAGAAAAGCAGCTAAATATGTTACTGAGAAAAGTCTTTAAATATTAAGCATGTTAAAAGATGATTACAATGATAGAATGTGCATTCAGAAGATAGCAAGAGTGCATGGAACACAAATAGGGTCAATATTTACTATTTTTAACAATAATCATATGTTGTATGATTATAAAGAGCTTTAATTTTTGGCAATAAACCACTCTGAATGATTTCCAAACACAGTATCTAAGTTTGTTGCTACATATTAAGGTCACACAAATACAGCCTTGAGAGAGAGATCAAAAACTCTTCATTCTAGCTCATTTATCACATGTAGAACTTCATCTAAGATATATGAGGATGTCAATCAGATTCATATGGCTCTTTAAGTAAGGAGATGCACTATGCTTTGAGTTATCTAAAGCTTATGCACAAACTCAGTCAATAGGTAATATAAATAAACAAAGAATCAGGCTTGTTTCTTCAGCAGCAACTTTTTGTGCCATTTGCAATAGGCAGAATTAAAGGAAGCACTGTAATGCTCATTTGGAAGAGTCCTAAAGATTTTCCTTTTGTTTAATTGGCTTATCTTTGACAGTACATATGAGCTCTTTTTTCTTTCTCTTCATGTAGTCCCCCATCTCAAAACTAAATGGATATTTCCACAACTGAGAAATGTATACCAAACACTAGACTAGCAATTTCCACATAAGTGTTCAAAATTATGAGAAAATTAGTTTTCATATGAAAACCTTACTCTCTCCTTGCTATATTTCCGTTCTAATAAACAACTGTCCTCTAAATTTCAGTTTTCTTTTTCCCCCCCTCTATTCGTCTGCGAAATTTCATTTGCTTTCTTTACTAGATCCCAGTTTCCCTTTACTGAATTGCTTCATTTCTTAATGCCCATTTGTTACCAAACAAAGTAACGTGATACCATTTGAAATGTTTCTAAAATCTTCAGTTGGTGATTCAGAGTCTTTGAGTTGACAAGCCGGAACTTCACTAAAATATGGCCTGTGTATACAGTGATAATTATCCTCCTTATAAGGGCAGTTAGAAAAAAGATCTGGTTACCTAAAAGGCCAGAGGACAATAGCAATTCACTCAACAGGACTTTACTGAGAGGTTGCTGTGTACACATTTGGAGCCAATAATGGCATTTTTAATTCATAAGGGAAGCTTTCTTCATTCATCAAAACTCTACCACTTTCTGGATGGTGACCTTGTAAAGGTTACTTAGTTAACCCAATGATCTTGGTGTATCAAATGAAGAAAATGGACCAGATAATTATTATTAACATCCTATTTGCTTTTAATGTATTTTGTCTTTAAATGTTGATGTTGCCTACTGGACATTTCATTTGGATATTTCTGGGATGATTATATTCTAACATTGTAAGGCAATTATAATTAGAATAACAACATAGTACGGTTTTTATTCCTACCAACTTCTATACACTTATCTCTTATCTCAGATTGTGTCCACATAAATTAGCAAGGCAGCATAGCTAGGTAGACTTATAGATCCAGTTTACAAATGAATATATTTAAGGTTAGTAGAAGTTAATGACTTCCTCAAAATCACAAACCTAAGCAATAAAAAGTCAGTATCTGGACCTATATTTATCTATTTTCAAACACCAAATTCTTTGCAAAGTACGAAACTTATTTCAAAGCATTCATTTTGTATACATCTCTGTGGAAACTTGACATGGGTTCTCTACGGTTAATTTCTGTAGCACTACACATGGCAAAGAGCATGAGAGTAGCAGTTTTCACCACAGATATCTCCTGAGTCACATCTAAAAGAAAAAAGAAATGGAGATCTGGAGTTGATGAAAATGCTAAACATCACAGTAACCAAAGATAAGAGGCCTCATCTGGATGAGCACCTGATGCTTTATTTTT